CCAAACTCCCTGAGGAATGCTTCCAGCACCTTGTTGAATCTATGCCACCAAGAATTGAGGCAGTTCTGAAGGCAAAAGGAGGTCCAACCCGTTACTAGCATGGGGTACCTAATAAAGTGGCCGCTGAGTGTATATAGCCTGAATATATATATTACATTATTTTAAAATTTAGATTTAAGTTTAAGATTTATGATACAGATATGATTGTAAATTTGAACATAAATGTAAATTATAGATATTAATTTATAGAATATGGTGAAAAAAGTCCAATTTGCTCAAACTGTTTTACATCTTAAAATGTAACTATAGTCGGCATTTATTCATTATCCTAATTATTTTAATTGAAATTATATTTAAAAAGTTTATTTATTTCCAGACACTATTTGTAAAATAGTTTAGCAACCGAATATCGGGTCAGAAAGGAAATCAGTTTAATATAACATCGCTGATCGTTACTGCTTAAAGGGGCGGGGCTAGTTTTGGAGAAGTGGGTGGAGTCAATGCCTGCTGCTCAAACAAAATGCATCATTTCTATAAAGTCCAGGTTCCTCTCTGTGGCTGAGGAGTCAGCGAGCTGCTCTAGTTCTGGCCTCTTCGTCCAAAGTCCAGCAATTGGCTCAGGGTGAAACTCTGAATCAACAAAAAACAGACAAACAGATGTTGGGAGTGAAGAACACCATGTTCCTGACGCTCGACGCCATAAAACTAGAAGCTGAATCAAACAAAACGAGCTGAAAAGGAACCCTGAGGTATTTATAGGAGAGTAAATACATTGATTAGAGCTTAAAGAGGCAAATAAAACGTTACGCATTAGAAGGAAACAGGAAGATAAAAACAGACGGGAAAGAAACACTGGTTAAAAATTATTATGATGCCGATATTAAAGTAAAACGGCAAAAGATTTAAATTATGAATATTTAGCTCAGCACAGCTGGTATTCAGAGATCCACAGCGCCCCCTGTGGGCCTGAGTCAGGAACTGACAGCTTTGTAATCCTTTCAGTCACAGCAGAGGAGGAAGGATGAGAGGCCATGAAGATGTGATGGGGGGTGGGACACGTGTGTGTGTGTGTTTACACCGGGGGTAGCTTCCCCTTACATAACAGTTCAGTTATCGAGTCCTTAACCGGATTGTTATTGATCAGCTGGGCTCTGACTCGTGCATACTTAATTCATGGAGGTAATCGAATCAAACGCACCCAGACCTCCTCGTCTGCCCGGCCTTTTAATCTCACCTTCAGCAGCTTCTCTGGCTTCCTCACTGTTCTTATATTTGACCCCTTAAACCAGAGGTCAGCCTGCAGCTCGGGGCCCCCTGGGGTCACCGGGGGCCGGCGCCTATCTGTCACCGGCTGAGAGGCGTGGTCCAGCCTGGACGGGTCATCAGCCCATCGCAGACGCTCCGTTTGGAGAAACCTCCAACCTGACAGGCCTGTTTGCATTTAGCTGCATCAGTTACCATAGCGATGCAGACCACACCCGTTCTCTAGATAAATGCAGAGAAGATGAACTAAACGTTCTTCAGATGAATCAAACGTTTCAAAGTTAGCATCCAGCTTCAGCTAATCCAGCTAGACAGCAGTGGATCAACAGCCAGACCGTTCAGGTCGGCTGTATCAGAACCAAACATGGAGGAGCTGCTTCCAGTTCTTCTGCTCCACTAATCTGGGAAACAGATTCAACTCTCAGTGTCTTTAAGTCCAGATGAAAAAATTATTAGTTTAAAGTTTTACTGTAAAATCCAAACATTAGTTTAACGTTTTTATTTTACTATCACTGATTTTATTCTTTAAAAAACGTCATCATCAGCTCCATCCTCTCAGTTTTTATTCACATTAAATTACATTAAATGTCAGAAAGACACTAAAATTACCAGAAATAAATGTTTATATCTTATTAGGTTGGAAACTGTGAAGCTTTTTATTCCATCTACCTTTAATACCGGCATCCTTCGCCCCTTAAATTCCGTCTGAAATTACATATTTGAATTAAAGCAAATTCAGCAATTTCATTTCAAAACAAAAACGAAAAAACAA